ATTTCTATAAATATAGTATGGAATTGTGGAAAAAAACATGATGCCTAAATCACAAAAAAGGTACTACCACCCAGTTTAATTAGAACTGTCTTGCAAAACCAAAACAATCGGCCTTCAAAGATACCTGTATACAACGGAAGACTGGATGATGATCAGTGTTAAAGAACCCGAAATAAATAAGAAATTTTATTCAATAATAAAGGAAGCTAACAAATTCATAATAATAATAATAATAATAATTATTATTATTTCCTTTGATTTCTTATAATTATTATTTCATTTTTGTTGGAAGAGAATAAAGATGTATTCCTTGCTTCCTGTTTTGGATGGGGTTTATCTGTTCCTTTCTTTCATGGCCTTAATTATTTAAGTCTTAAATTTTTGGTGATCTGACTGATTAGCAGATGCGTCTTTTTATTATGCGGGTAACGGATTAGTAGTTTTCTGGTTGCTTCAACCCGAACTGTTTACCCTTGTTAACAGTAATATAATATCGGAGTATTTACAGTGCCATTTCGCGCATTGGATATGTACTACTGCTCGTATTTCGAAAGAGCAACGCTAAGGTCCCATTACGCTTTACTATCAACAACCAGCCGGCAAGTGTGCATTGCCAGAGATCAGCGTTACGTGTCCAGAATGCGTCCTATTGGACTCCCACATACCATCCCGTCTGGACAACTCGACAGCGGCAAGATGCTACGCGGAGGCCCAAAACGACTCTTCAAGGATCAGTTGAAGATAGTCCTGACATAGACAAACATCGACGCCGAGACCTGGAAAATTGTTGCTGCAAATCGAACTTCCTAACCTACGGCCATCCGAGGCGAGTGGTGGGGAACGAAACTTTCGTGCCCGTCTATCAACATGAAGAGGATCAGCGACCTGTTGTCAGAAGGGCTTGACTCGCTCGGCCGCGTCCATCAGAAAAACTCCTTTGTGACTCTTGCTCACGACACTTCAGGAGTAGGCTGGGTCTTCACAGTAAATCTCCCTCACCGTCACCAGACCGGGGGAGAAAGGGAATAACGACAGAGGATAACAGTCCTGGTGCTAGGATGCGAGCGCGTGCCGGCGACGTTAACTTGGGGCGTACTTGGCTACTTTTCACGGCGCATTAGTATGCCCGGGCGCACCAGTTGAGAAACGTTTAGACGAAGTATGGTGATAATTATTTTGGCTTTATTCTCCTTAAATAAATGGAACTATTCTGATGAGACTTAAAATTAAAAGAAATAAAAGTAAATCTTAATCTCTCTTTCGCCAATATTCCCAATTTTCGTCCCAATTTCTGTAGTGTAGAACATTTTCTCTTGAAACGTTCTCTGGATATTTTAACGTGCTGTGAAACGAATTTATTCTCTTCTATCGATACCAATGAATTCTCTTTGTCGAAAAGATCCTAGGATACATACGCATAGCGTTGGTTGTTACGGTCGGAAAAATCTTCCAATGGCAAGGGAATCGTTTCCTGAGTCCTCGGATAATTATTTCATGTGCTTTGGAATTACTTTATTGAACACTTTTAATTATCTCTTCGCAGGGCTGTAATATGGACGAAACTAAGAGTTTAGAATTACCTCTCTCTCTCTCTCTCTCTCTCTCTATATATATATATATATATATATATATATATATATATATATATATATATTCACCTGCGAACATCTTTATGTTTGGCGATTTTAAGGAATGTACTCAGAATTTAAATTTCGCCGTTGCTCAGTCTCTCAGGGAAAATGGTTTATTTCCATTATAATAATTCTGATCAACCTGCTTCGTTATTTGATTTGTTCCTTACCTCCTCTCCTAGCATTTGTCGAGCCTCGCAACTGTGTCATTTTGGTAATTCGAATCACGTTGTAGTTTGTTTTATTTCTCATCTAGTAGACATGAATCCATTATTCGCAACACTTATTTCAGCGTACCGGTTGTGGTTCAATTTGTGATAATGTTTGCGACACCCTCTAGTGTGAAAATTTTAAACATCCTATTGAGAATTGTACCATTGATGTTTCTTCTTGGGTAGGAGCCGGCATCGATGCTTTTCTGTCATCTCGGAAATATCAGGTAAAACAAAAATTTTCTTGTCTCACACCTGACGTTTCAGCTTCTATAGCCCACAGGAAATACTAATTTTACGGCTGTACCAGCACAGTATTTCCGATTACAATAAATACATTATAGTAACCGCTAGTAATAATTGTAAACGTGTACTTAATGTGGATAAGTCTTTGTTCGCTGAGAGAATTAGGCACAATATAGCCTCTAACTAGTTTCATTCCAGTGAACACAGGTGGTTGTGTTACAGTGTGTATTGAAGAAGGATTAAATAACGTCATCTTCATGCTTGCAGATAATATTTAGAGTATGTATGTATCTATGAATGTGATTTAGTAGGATATAGAATCTGAAGAAAACTGGAGAAATAGAACAAAGTGTAAAAGCATGTGGAACTAGCAAATACCAAACACTTTAAATGTCTCGTCGTACATATCAGCTGCATTTTGTGCAAATTAATTAAAAGAAAAAAAATAATTCCGTTATTTTTTTTTCGTATTTTTCCACTGAGTCCTCCAGTGACTCAGTGGACATGTTTGTATTTCGTATATCCATTCCACGGTGTCGTTCCTTGCAGATTGTCCACAGATTTAAATCAGGAGAGTTTCCTAACCAGTCTATAGTACTTTGATTTGCTCACTGGTAAGGCTTGCCAGTGTCTTCGTGTAGCTTTACAGTTTTCCTACATTTCCTTGGATTAATGTCCATCGCAAGCAATGGCCGTAGAACAGCTAATCGACAGTCGAGACAATAGTGTCTAGGAGTGATAAAAATCTGATGAAATCACGGATTGCGTCATATTTTTCAAGGCCAAACAAATTTCATCATACAACCCGAAAATAGATTCATATTATTGCTTAAAACTCTAAATGACTTAATGTAAGAAAAAAAATAGGAAGACTAAAACGATTGTTTCAATTAATTTGCCCAAAAGTGTATAATAGATTAAGTGTAGGAAAACAAAGAAATTGAACATAGAACAGTTTGTGTCAGAGGTAAATTCGCGCAACACCAAAACATTAATCTGAAAAACGATTCATGTTCTTAAATAGGCTTATTAGATTGAGACTTTCATATCTAAGCTGTGTATAAAGTTGCTTCCTAAGATCAAGGGTGAAAAAAGACATTGATCGAGAAAAGAATGTGGGTCTTAGCAAAGATCATTTTCATTTCAACATTGTGGACAGGCGCTTCAGAATCGCAAAAACAAAGACCTTTACCAAATAACAGAAACCACATCCCTTGAGGACACCCAACAGCAGCAACAACTAAAATGGATAGCAGAAAGAGAAAATAATTCATGGCATAATCATGCAGTTTACACTTTCGACCAATTCAAATAGAATATCCTGAAGGAAACCCCCATCATTACCGGAAAGAGTTATAAAAGCTACTGGAGTTGAGAGACCTGTTTTAAAAAAATGTGTTTCAAGAGAAAGATGTTATTAATTTCAACTGAAAAGAGTACTGGCTGCTCGTTCAATAAATGCCATAAATATTACCTTGTAGAGAAACGGGTAATATTACATTTAACATTACCATTTTTAACAACAAAGTGTTTCGTCTTTGTTGGCATCTTTAATTTAAAATGAAAGAAAAAACTGTATATTGAATTTAACATAAGACCACTCTCAGTAGATTGTTTTTCTATTTATTAGCTTGTATATCACTGTTTTCTGTTATTATTTTATAAATTATTCGTAACATATATATATATATATATATATATATATATATATATATATATATATATATATATATATATATATATAACAGGCTGTTTCATTAGACGCAATCGTCAGGGCAGCCTGACCATTGCATCTAGCATGAAACAGCCTGTCGCCTCTGAGTGTTGACTTCAATGTTCACTTTATATTTATATTTACATACGCTCTATCTCTGATATTGAGCCCTATATCCCATAAATATAGGACATCTTAAAACTTTATTTCTTTACATATATATATATATATATATATATATATATATATATATATATATATATATATATACACTATTTGCATTGTTCGAACATTTGTCCTCGTCTTTATTGTCATATTTACGACGTTTCGGCTATTGTACGCTCCGGTCTTCTTCAGGAATCCTAGTTCCACGTGATATGCCTTGTTTGGATATTTCTTTAAAGACTCATGGCCCAATGGTTAAAGTGTTGATTGAAGTAATTCAGTGGCTTGACCCAAAGATTTCAATACCTGGCCACAGCATGGGTGAAAAAAAAAAAACAAACTTGGAAAGATAAATTAGTAAAGGGAAGGGAACAGAAATTCATAAATTGAAATTCTTAAATAATTATATTGGGCATACGACCACATGCCTATCTAGACGATTCACGTTACACCTGCATGATCACATCTCAATTAAGATTCATTTAAACACACATGAAAACCTACCAAACTCCATCCGAAACATACTAGTAGAAAATACAAATATAGCGTCATCCACAAGTAAAAAAGATTTAAAATAATGGAAGCCTTAATAATAATAAAAAAAGGTAAACACAACACTCAATACTATTAACTACGAACACGGCCACAATGTACTGACCGTGTTTGGAAAATAAAACATCCCTATAACTTCAGACGCATACATAAAAACCAAATTCTCCTTGATAATGGCTAAATTATAGCCGAATGCGCTTGGAAAATACCGAAAGTGCTCAGATATGGAGAACTTTTGGGCAGTTTTTATGTATAATACGAGTTTAAAGAAGCAGGTGTACTTATAATTTTTGACAGACTAACTCATTAATTAGCAATATTTAAGATTGTTACGCTTTCATTAATTAGAATTTTGACGCAACACAGTCTTCTGATCCATATTTTATAATAGAGAAATGTAACTATATGAATTATTTTTCAAATTCAAAATGACTGGAGTCCTGACGGAAAAATATGTTAATATCTCGCTACTAATTTTAAATGCTCAAAACCAAAGGCCAATTGTTTGTCATCCGTATGTTTAATAGCAGGTTTTTTTTAATAAAGGAAGCGTTTTCGTTCATTGTAATAATGGTTTTGTAAGAGAAACTAGAATTTTTAAACGCGTTTTCATAGAAAGGCAATCACAGAGGAGATGGTAGTAATTTGTTTAGTAGTATCAGTAAAGTCCTTGTTGTAGAATTGGTATCAACCACTTGTTGCAAATCACAACAATTTACACTTATTGATTTTAGTCGACTTTGCTATATACTCGCTAGGAGTTGGAAACCTTCCCACTAACCCCAATTCATCGACAGATTTATAAAAGATAGCAAGGTCACTTGGTGAGGCCTGGTTCACACTTATTCTCAAATCTTTATTTCCCTCTGTAAAACAGTCGTCATCAATATGCCTATTGAGATTTAACAATATAAAACTGCGTTTCTCCTATTCTGGCAAGGTTTTAAAAAAGAAATTATACGGAATTAAACATTTTTAATCCTTCCACCCCAAGCAAGGCGATAATGCCACTAAGACGTAATGAATTACTGGTTGTAAAATCGCATGAGAAGGTATTTAGTGAGAAGTGACAATAAAAGAACAAGTTCCTGGAAAACAAAAGATGGCGATTGATGTCGTAAGTAAATTTTTGAAGATGTTACCTGACAGCGTAGAAATCAGAATAGAACAGTGTGAAAAGCATCTCTTTTAATAAGACTCATGATTGCGTTTAGCTATCTCAAAAGTATAACGATGTGAGATAGATGAAAAAAAAAAGCTAAATTCGGGAAGAAATTTATTTAGCTATCATAATTGATGTCCAAACTGAACAATCAAGGTAGATGTTCGAAGTGTTTACCTGAATGCTTAACACAAAGTTGTAACCAGGAGGCAGTAGCTTTATTAAAGGATAGGAATATTTAAGAAATTTATTCAAGATTATTCAAGGTCAATTATTTCTGAAAGATAAAACTATGATAACAAATTAGTCGCTTTTTTTTTTACTGGAAACCCTGTAGTAACACGTTTAAATTGATGTCGTTGATGTACCAAAAAGGGGAGCTGAAAATGTTGACTGACGTTGCGTTTAACTTTCAATTGATAGGAAAACACGACTCCACAATAGAGAAAAAACAATTCGGATACTTAATATTATATCTAACAAAACGATAAGATCTCACCGCCAATCGAGTACTAGGCTTAAATCCAAGCATTCGGTTTCAAGGAGAACTCATTAAAACAGTTCCCATGAAAATATTTATAGAAAAGACATGATGGGGTTACGTCACGGCAGTATGAAAGTGACTGAAGCCGAAATGCCAAGTCAGGATCAATAGCATTTCAAACCCATCTTTGGATTTGACGAGAATTCCGACATTTTAGCCTAGAACACCAGATCGGATATGGCTGAAATATTCAATGCACGGACGGATTTATAAATGTGCAAGATGGACTCTCACGAGAACAATTACCTGGCAACGAATTAGCCTCCACTTGAAAGATTACAGCTCTCCATAGGTTCCGATAACTCTTTCTTAAATATATATGAACTGCAATGACGTATTGGGAAAGAGAATAGATCAGTTGCCCATTACATTCCCTGGTTTCTCGTTCTAAAATATACGTCAACCTACCCCCTTTTTTTCTACCTCCTTTGAACAGCAGACCCCTACACTAACGCCCCGCCCTACATCAACATAGGCACTTCTTTCTGTTGCTTTGCAGCCCAGACCAGACACCAGGATCGTTGATAGGGTGCAATTACTTTCAGTCAAACGCTTGTGGCTTAAAAATTAATCTTCGGCCAGATCGTTACTCACTAGTGAAGAAAACAATTTCTAACAGTAAACCATTCTTAGGTAGTAACTTACTGCTATAAACGGGAGGGGGGAGTAGAGATGAGGGGTAAGTGAAGCGGATGCACTGTTCGACGGGCATCTTCCCTGTCCGTAAATTCGAGGTCCACTTTGTTCCTTTTGTTTTTCATTTCGCAGCATGGTCAGTTTCATAGACGATAGTTTTCATAGTCCTGTCATCTTCGTCTAAAAAATCGTAATTAATCTTCCTTCTTTTACTTTCTCTCAATTTGATACTCTTGCTCTTTTACTTTGAATTTAACTCCAATTACTGACAGCCATCAGTCGAAAGTAAATGTTCATTATCTAGTTGTTTTAAATTTAAGATAACTTCAGCTTGACTCATAGTGCTACATTCCTTTGCAAGAAGTCTACTGCAAATGCAAGGCAATTGCTAATCTAACACTTATTAATGTGTCTTGAACGGCCACTCTTCTAGATCGTTTTGTATTGATGCAGGTGACACATAGGTTTCTATCATTGGAGCTACGTTGAACTTAATTTTGGGAATCGACTTCGCTGATGGCATCAGTTCTCAACACGGTATCTAAGCTGGCAGCCATTTATTCCTATCTTAATAGTTACTTTGGGCTTTTCTATAAAGGCACATTGACAGGCTGATCCCCAAAACGAATCTACCATAT